CAGCAGCTCTTTAGGGTTCAGGGTTTAGGGCTTAGGGTTTAGGGCTTAGGGTTTAGGGCTTAGGGTTTAGGGTTTAGGGTTTTGGATTTTGGGTTTAGGGTTTAGGGTGTAGCGTTTAGAGTTTAGGGGCTTCAGGATCAGCGTAAGACTTATGTGAATATTCATTGGCAACATGCCCGCAACACTGTCGAAAAGTCCCAGTGGAAAGTAGAGATATGTGAAACCCTAGACCCTACATATTTGAGTGGTGTAGTTTCCATTTTCTTTCCATATCCCTATATAAATGCTAAATGTCATAGTAGTTTCCATTCACCATTTTCCCTATATAAGCTGAATATTTTAGCAATTTCCATTTTCCATTGTACCTATACAGCCCAATATGTTCACCACTAACCCTTAATGTATAATGTAGTTGTTTCCCTATTCAACCCTAACCCTGAACCCTTAATGCTAAACCCTAAACCCATTATCCCTACACATCCTCTATAGCTTATATCTACCCCAATATACTATAGTAGTTTCCATTTTCTTTTCCATTCTCCTGCCTATATAGCCCTAACCCTGAACCCTGCCTAGGAGAAAAGGTCTCATAAACAAAAACCCTAAGCGCTAAACCCATTATCCCTATATAACCCCTTCCGCAGTGACAGGGTTGTACAGGCAGAGGGCTGCGCCAGCATCAAATCAAGATTCATGGAAGGCTGCTTCGTCCTTCGAACCTCAGAACTTACGCTACAGGGTTTTATAGGGATAATGGAAAAGAAAATGGAAACTACGATGTTCATCTGTACTATATAGGGGTTATATTGGGGTTATGTAGAGTTGTAGGTGGATAGAGACTCTAACCCAGTTGAGTAGTATTTTATTTTGGGATATTATGGTACCCAATATAGAGTAAGATTCTATCCTTCTTTTGGGGTATAGTATTTTATATAAGGGATATAATCTTACTAGGTTCAACCACCAAAAGAAACGCTAGTCACCTGGAATACATAGGGTGTAGGGCCGGGCTTAGGGTTTACGGTTCAGGGAGGGCTATATAGGAGTTAAGTAGTATAGTTTAAGTTACTGGGGGCTGGTAGGGAATAAGGAAATACATCAGCAGAGGGCTACTGGAAAAGAAAATGGAAACTACTACATCATAATTGGGCAAATATTGGGGTTATAGTAGCGAATAACGGCATATGTTATATAGGGAGTATATTCCTTTGTTCCCTCCTAACCACCAGTGAGAGAATGCGCAACTCAATTCTCTGCACCTCCTAATCTTCCTAAACCCTAAACCCTGAACCCCCAAACCCTAAAAAGGGTTTAGGGTCCAGGGTCCCTAAACCCCTAAACCTAAACCCTACACTCTTCAAGCCAGTGCAACGCTCCCAAGACTTGCAAAGGTTTATTGACGTCCTGAAAGAGGTGGGCTTCAACGGAGGCCAGCCAATCGGTTTGGTCCTGAGTCTTCCTGGTGCCCCTTTCAGTGTCCGCTTCATATTGGAAATTATGGTTGTTGCTATTATTGTTATTGTTATTAGTATAAGTACTACTATTATTATTATGATTATTGTTACTATGTTGTTATTCGTATTATCACCAAGATGACGAGTTCTTCAAGAACCGGTCATCCCCTGAGAGTGTGTACCGTCCTGCCATGGCACATCGGTGCAATGCCTGCGTAAATACGCCCGCACAGCACTTTTTCAGGATTGCTGGCCGACAGAACAAGCAGATTTGCGATGACTTCTTCCCGGACTGGGACGAGCAGCGGGCAAAGGCTTTTGCTGACAAGAAGGAGGCTGCTTGGGAGATCTTAGTTCCCACGGGCAGACTAATCCAGGCCGCGCTTGATGGGACAGACTTTTCATGTGGTCAAGCCTTGGCCTGACTGAGGCTATGTTTCGAGAACGGGCTGCAGAGTTGTTGAAGCCCATGACTGGTTTTTGTGCATGCAAGAAGAACTTACAAGTTGATTCTTGACATGTAACTGCCCTTTGTCCACTAGTGCTTGCTGCACACTAGGTCTTGATCGTGTGCGTGCGTGGTGTGACCGGAGCGGAATCAAGAAGATCGCAGCCGCTCTTCTTGGGAAACGGTTGCGGGCTGTCATTGGAGCTTTCGATTGCATTAGCTTAAGTGATGTCACTGACGAGGTTGTAGCGAAGTGGAAATGTCTACGGAAGGTGCATGACATGTTGGGGTACCCATCGGGGTGATATTAGGGTAATTTTGGGATAGTGAAAAGAAGTGGAGACAACTATGTAAGGTCCCAGGCACCGGGGGGAAGTTTCGCAACCGCACTAGGTCACTAATGCGCCTCGCGACAATGCCGAATTGATCACCGACTGTATCGGCTACCGGTCCTGGTTTCCGGAGCTGGTGATTGGCGATGAGTGCGAGCGTGGGCGACTTGCACTGGTTGGGCTGCTACAAGTAGGGGGTGCTGTAGACCTAGGCATTGGGAAGGGATGTCTTGCAAAGATAGGCTGCGTGAGTGAAGGGAACATTTCTTGAAGGCTTTTTTTTTGTGCTTTGTGCTTTCTCAGCTTGTCAGCTCTCTGTCATTTTTGCAGGGCTCCATTTTGCCCTTTTGGTTTTCCTTTCTTGGCTTGCTTGCAGGCCTGAGCGATTTGTTCATTTCCGTTCTAGACTTCTAAACTGTGTATGCTTCGCCCTCCTCAGGGTGTGCCAGCTTTCTGTGCCTGGGTGTTGTGGCCTCTTGTCTTTTGACACATGGTTTATTCTCAAAATTGTGCACCCCTTTTGGTTATAGTATATATTATGGCACCTGATATTTAGGGGTACCAGAATGGGACCCTAACTTTGGGAACTACCCACATATTGTTGTCGTGTGTGTAGTTGCTTACAAGAAGCTGCAAAGTTTTTGCATCCGTGCTCAAATTCGAACAATGTGCGGTTCTCTAGCTTGTTCGCTGTAATTATGTCCGTGCCCTGTTCTTCCTGGCTGACTTGCGAACTTTCTTTTGAGTGTTGCCAGATTTTCGTTCTAAGTGCAGACTGGTCACTGAAGCTTAGGGACTATATAGGGACTACAGGGTGTGTATATATATATATAGGAATAATGGGAATGAACATGGTAACTACCATAATGGGTTTTTGTCTCCCCTGGTCTTGCGTTGGGAACTAAGGAAGCCTGATCCCTGTCCATACCAGACAGCGATGAAGCGCCTGGGTGTGCGACCTGAGTGCTGCATAGCTTTCGAGGCAGGGCTGCAAGGTGTGTAGTATACTACAATATTTTATAGTATACTATAGTATACTCATATTATAAGATATTGTAGTATACTATAGTATACTAGTATTATAACATATTGTATACTATAGTATACTATAAGTATTATAGTATAATATGAAGTGCTGTAATGTGTGGTGCTTACAGGATTCACCCTCGGGCGCCAAATCCGCTGTGGCCGCCGGGGTCTACACGGTGGGAATATTATCAAGCCAGGCCGGGCCGGCTGCAGCCTGTCATTTCTGTTATATTAGGGTTACATGGGAACAATGGAAAAACTACTACATTATAGTAGGGTCTATATTGGGGTTGTAGTAGAGAATAAGCGGATATTATCAGTTGAAGATTCTGACACTCTCTGTCCATTCTAGTGCAGATCATCATGTGACAGTTTCACACCGAAGTCGTTAACACCGAATACTTTTGGCTCAAGGTAAAAGATCGCATCAACTGTGTTGCTTGCATGTCTATTATTTACCACTAGGTGTTCACCAAAATAACTAAA